GGCCTGGGTGATTAATGTTTCTCTTCTCCGTTGGAATGAACGTTTCCCATATTCGTCGTACACAAGGTTAAGAGGAATCCGAAACTCAGGAAAACGGAAGTTTTGGCTATAATGTATCTCCTAAGTTTAGCTGCTCGGACGTGCAGCATTAAGTTGCCAGTACTTAGTATAACTGCACGGTGGCATTGGTCGATATAATAAGCTTCACTTTGCTGAGTAAAAAGATGTACTTTGAATATTTGCAATGTCCTACTCATAAGGTTGCTGAAAATCCATCGACAGCCCACGACCGGTTTCGCCCTTCTTGGGGCTCATCAGGTAGGCGCAGTCCCCGGGTTTCCGTCAACCTTATGTTCTAGTTGAAACCAAATTGCACGAAGTTAGCGAATATACACTCATTTGCAAACTAATTTGGTTCTTTCGAGAGACTCACCTGGAACCCAGCTGAATCTCTCGTTTATGATGTACTTTGAAGCCCTACCACCGGAGTGTCAAGGTTGTGCCAAACTTGCTGAAACCCAAAACATGCCACGATGTTTTTCACCACATCTTTAACTACTAGTAAGTAGGCAAAATGTATCACACTCCAAATTAGACCACAGAAGTTCAGGAAAGTCCAGGCGGTGACAACACTTTAAAGTTCCCTGATATTGACTTCTTCACCCCGTTGCCCTGAAAAATCAACGAATATCTCGGTATAAGCTCGTGACGCATCATAAGAAGTATGAATGTGGTTGAGCACGGCATTCGCACTCCATTTCGACAGTCTCTCTCTGGTTCGCTCGAAGTTTTACCTTAGTCAGTTGACAAACTTACACTAAAAACGCAACTCCAATTTAACGCGGCGTTTCACAGCGGCTTGAACGAATTCTTCTGTCCGAATAAGAAAGGCTGGTCAGGACAAACACAGCGGTCAAATTAAACCATCTAACCAGACTCCAAACGTGAAGTGCCTGTAAGCCTAGGTGCACAGACAGACTAAAAGTAGACAAAAAGCTTAGACTTGAGTGTATTTCTAACTGACCTCGGCTTAAATCAACGCGGGATGTCGTACGTAGTGCTTCACGTGGCACCTGTACCTTCCAAATCGGCTAGTGTTGCGACCGCTTTCACTGCAGGGATAGTGAGCACCGCGCATAGGTTACAGCTCTGCTAATGTAAATATGGCATAAGACCGTCACATTGATATATGGCACAGTTTGATCAAAGGTATAAAGCACGTTCACAGGAATTCACTCAATCAATTAGGCAGCGTGCAACAATTCTTCCGCGTACGTAGCCGACGTACTCGGTTAACATGTATGAATGGGTTGGCCAGGTCCATTGTTGGACTAAAGGAAGAGGAAGGCTATTCTAGAGAAAAGTGTGAAAGTTACAGATAACAAGCGGGAGAAAATTGTATGGAGTCGGTGAGAAAGCCGTCAGTGGGAAGAACCTGAATTAAGCGTAACCTAGAGAGGACATTCTGTACAACTAAGAAAGTGACACGGACGCTGATCAAGAGCTAAATGGGCAAAAGTGTGCTTGGGAGTATCTGAAGGTGTGGCGAGAGCCTTGTGCGATGCAGGGAAACCAAGTCAACAACGGCGGTTGTGCGGAACATTGGTGGATCCGAGTGATCCAATGGGTGTTGGCCTGTTCACCGAATTCGGTAATTGACTTGCAGACGTTCCGATACCATTCGAGAGACGTTACCAATGCACCCTTGTGTAGGTGTTCCTTGCCCTGGTTGTTGCATATGTACGGATTAGCTGAGAGTAAGCTACATCCCTAACGTGATTAGCACACTACGATACGGGTTCTCTGGTTGATTGTTGGTCCATTCTGGCTCCCTGTTGTTGTGTGGTCTGGTATCCTCTTATTTGATTTATTTGTTTTTGTCATCTATCACTCACTGCTTCCCTTAGCTCGTCCGATACCTGTGGGATATTGCGCCTGGGAAATCGTGTGGCTTTATTGGTTGTTCGGATCTGTATGTCACGTGTCCGCATTTTAGTCACACAGGCATTGGTGCTTTTCCATTGGGTTTCGCGTCAAACAGGTAACTAGATATTTGATAAAAACAATCCAGATTTAAGTGCTCGACTGTGTGTTTGGAAATGGTGTTCCAATGGTTAAACTGTTTAAGATTTTAGTAAAAGATTTCCACAGATTTGTGAAACAATCAGTGCTCATGGGACAGTCCTTTTCTGCATCGCATTGCTCTCTTATAGCAAAAGGAACGAAGTTCGATGGCGAAAATTTTCCTGAGCTTGTCCGTGTGGGTGGGAGGCAAAGTTACCAGCCAGAAACCGGGCCCCAGCAGAATTGAGGCTTCTTTCAGGAAACGAACGAAGTGGTGTACACTGATACTGAAGAACTGGCCGACAGAAGCGTTTCAGTGACATCATAGCTTTTTTCCAAGTGGGTCCGCCGACGTGATAACATATTTAAGGTCCGCAGCAGAAGAGCAGCTACAAGGCAAATCTTCTGCTGGAGTTGGCTAAAATTAAGTTAACATGCCTCCTCCCAATACCTCCATTCCATCCGTATTATCCAAAACGTGAAGCATCAGTTTTGTAGGGAACTTCTGTAATGCCACCCATCCGAGATCGATAATACCAAAACTGGTAATCCAAACTCCGCGGAGTCGTTGTCTGGATTAAACGCTGTGGCTAAAGTGGCTGTAGTGTTGCCCACTACGATCGTCAAATGTGATTTCCGTGAGGCTCATACGGATAGGTCTTTGTATAGAATCCTCATTTTGTGATTTCTATCGGTGACATTATTCTGTCAGACGTCGTAGTACCCCATTTATTCATCCACACATTCGGAGTGTCTCGAGTTTGTAGATGAATCCACCGGTCAAAAGGTGAAGACGCATTTGAAAACCTTCATTGATGGAGCATAAGCACGTTTTTCATTGCACAACGGGCATAGGCATGTTGTTGTTGGAGATGACTCATAATTTCAAGATGGATAGTCGATGGACACATCGACTTTGAGGAAGAAGCCAACAAAGGGTTGAATTATGCCGAGAAACTTAAATCGCTGTTTTGTTAAAGAAATTTCCATATCTGAATAAACAGACACTGCTGACAAAAAACGAAATAAAAATGAGCGAGGATTCCTTCATTTTGGGCGGAAAATAACGGACATAACTCCAGGCATTTCACCTGAGTATAATAATCACAGTTTCTCGTGCGTGCATTCAGCATCTACGATAGCCGCTGTTTCCTAGTTTTACCATATACATATATGTGAACTTTTATTTATTCATTTATTTATATATATCGTTCAACTGTAGCCATGCCACAAGGAAGCACGAGGGCTGGGAAACTACCAGGTTGCCCAGGCCTAGACAGGGGAAGTCGAGAGACGGGGGCCGGCTCCAAACCACGGACATTCCGGTCAGTAAATTCGTGATCTAACCACTGAGCCATCTCAAGATCAAGGTGTGATCTGGTTGTGAAGAGTACAGATGGGACACTAAGTGGATCAGTTTCCAAAAATCTGCTTTCATTTCCCTAATTTTCGCAAACATTCACAGTAATTTTATTAGAAATGCATACGTATGGTTACGCAAAATACTCGCGGGAGATAATCTCCCCCACGAATGTTACAAAGCACGGTATCTCTATCCTACAATCATCCCACTACTATGGTCGAATTTGCGAGTTCATACCGGACACTGTGTATTGTACCTGAATATGTATAACAGAAAACCATGAAGCAGTAACCGTTACCCACGGACGTTTCAGTGCTCTCCGGATAACTATAGGCATTCTAGGACTAATCACATTTAATGTCCGAGTCTTTCAGGGTGACATTCAATGTCAAGTATATATTTCATCTACCCGTTCTGTCTAGTCATCGATCACTCTCTAGCCTCCTGGATACAATTCATATTCATATGACAACAGTAAAAAACGGGCAGGAAGGTCTCTAACCTAAAGCAACCGTTTACCTTGCATTAAGTAGATTCGTCAGAATATCCATCAGTCTGGGAAGTCATCCGAAGGAAGCTTACACCCAAGCAAAACCTAGACACTTCCTAGCTTTTCCACACTGAATGGCTACATCAAAGACATGCAGAGAAAGGAGTATTTTGCGGTCAAAAATTTCACATAATCTGAATTCTCCATGCTGCCAAAACACCTTAACTGCACAGCACAGGACTGAAACAACACATGACAAATGTTCGGCAGTCCCATTTGTGACCCTGACTGTATTTTACTTGCTAGCCAAGTACACTCAGTTCCGCTGATGAGGAAAGGGACGCACAATGAGGGTGGACAAGTGTCCGTTTAAGTGGTCCCGGAGACTAGGGAAATACGATGCGGAGCAACGATAAGATAAAAAAAAGCCATGCAAACCAGTGGTAGGTTATGTTGTCGACGAGTCAGAAAATACGGAAGGACAAATGAGGATCGCCTTATACACGCCATCTCCAAAAAAATGTAAATCCACCAGGAAGTGTTTATTACTGAGGAGGATGCGTGTCAAAACACTATTACGAAGCATCAAAAGTTTCTTTTGAGTACCACCTGTATAGAGGCTTCGAATAAGGAAGGAGCACTGTATCGAGAAGTGATAAATTGCTTAGGTGCTTCCAAAAGGAATTTCTTATAAATATGGAGCGCTGCATAATCATCTGCCCTAAGTGTCCCCCACGCTCAGCAACACCTTGGAATCGGTTTCTAGGCCTGCCTCTAAGCTAAGACACTCTGGCTCGTAGCATTCCGTAAAGACCTATATTGACTTGTTTCCGCCAACTGGCTGCTCCATTATTTAGGCACACGAAGTCTGGAATTGTCAACATGTGTGTGTGTGTGTGTGTTGGTGCATATGTTCGTTGATCACAAAACTCCGCGTGTGGGCCTGAGGACTGCTTGGTGGTGGTCCGGTATGTAAATAGTAATAAGAACCTACGATGATGACCAACGGCAACCAATCCGTTCTGCGGGTCGACTGAAAACCAAAACACCCCAACACGGATTCAAGAAAGCACATAGTAAAAGGAGAAAAATGTAGTGAAACTGTCAATGCTGTACATATTTCATAGCCCACTGACAAGTTGGTCAAAACGATTCACAGAAGTCCTTCCATTTCCCTCATGAATTCCTCATAGGCATCGTCTTTGCTTGCACTTGCAGCAGCAGAAGCCGATCCAGTTCCGTCGGCTCTTGAAATCCGGTCGTACGCAGAAACCGATGTTTCTATGACAAAAACCAGACAATTTAGCCATAATGCTTTGGACAGAAAGACAAACATATCACTTAGGAGAAAGCTCCTTGCTAAAAGTGGCGACAAAGAGAGAAAGATCCCAGATAGACAACGAAAGTTGCCGTCCCGGAGTGAGGAGGTAACACGGCTCACCACACAGCAGTGTGAGTTATGGACCGTGTAACAATCAAATACGGAGAACCTGGTACAGCGCAGCGCTTAGTGCGTCAGTATGCTTGTTTTATTTTGGGGTGGCCGGTATGGAGGCTTGTGCACAATCACCTAATCCTACCATGTCAAGTGTGCATTGCCCACCGTTGATAAATGTGGAAACTGCGCACGAAATTGGATTTTTATCAAGTTACTATAAGCCAATCAGTGTTGGGAAGCTGGGACACACTGTACAGCTGTTCGATCCACCATAAAGGCATGCATTCTAAGGATCACGATTGGATTAAACACCATAGGTCCCTGGATAGGGTTTGAACACCCTAGTATCAAAGCAAAGGTGGTCGATCAGTAGTGTGGCGATTATTAGAGTCAAAACCACAAGTTTATACGACATGGCCGGGTGTACGTACCTCGGGCGGATGTGCATGTGGCTTGATGAAATGTTTTGTTTTGTAAACATGTTACTTACGCCTCATAAGTAGAGGGATGAAAAACAAAATCTAGACGGAAATGTCCTCACTACCCCTGGTGAGTGTGAGTTGAGTAGTTTTAATCACTTCACTGACTCTCAACTGGGCCGTTTTAGGACACATTATCTCTCCGACATAATGAACCAAGCGCATGTAGCAACGACACTTAGATTAGATTCATAGCAATAGTACAGTGAGGTTTGAATCTGCGGATTCCCGTTTATCTAATAACACACCAGGGTTGGTGAGCACGTGGGAAAAAGATAGGTCGCCATTACTGACGCTCTTTAAAACGGCAAACTGGGAGGGAAGAACTCTCCGCGACAGTTCATTCTAACCTAGAATCACTGTAGAGCAACCTTTTGGAGGCCAGCCGCCTAAGATTTCCTGGGAAGTCTGAACAAGAAAACTTTCTACGCAACAAACATTCTAATGAATCGCCAGGTTTTGCTTGCTATGAATTCTGAGTTCGTTACTAGCGGCTAAGTATTTCACAACATCCGCCAAAGCACACACAACAGCAACCGAAAACCCAAGGGGTAAGTTCAAGCGACGGACCTCTTGATCAGTAGCTCGCATCCTAACCTCCAAATTGTCCTCTCACTGTAAGACAACTGAGAATACCAACGATACAGTATTTTAGACCTAGCTTAACGTATACGAAAATTAGTGAAAGGTAGGAGTTTTTTGTCGTTCAGTTGTAACGCCCTTCCGATGCCTAGCTGCCATGCTACCCAAGGGAAGCACGAGGGCTGGGATGCTGCCAGGTTGCCCAAGCCTAGACAGTGGAAGTCGAGAGGCAGAGGTCGGGTTCGAACCACCGACCCTCCGGTCAGTAAATTCGTGCCCTAACCAGTTGAGCCATGTCGACCCCGAAAGGGAGAATACTTATGCGTCAACTTCAATTAACGCCTGTGTTTAATAACCACTTATTATTAAACTTACTCCCAGTTGCTCCAGGTCCGTGAGTGCCAACACCGCCACCAACTGTCACTAATCGTCCAGTGGGGTCTCGAGTAGTCCGGCGTATTTTGATGGCCGTTGGGACAAAACGTGTTGCATCACCAATAAGGTTCTTCAATTGTGGTTTCGCCTCTATGGTTGTGCCTGTTGCGGAACCAGCCTTGGAGGTTGGGGGTAGACTGGAGGTCGGGTGTACGGCCGGTGCACCAAGTATATCAGCGTTATCCAGTGGGTCACGTGGATGAAGACTGGGTGGAGCGGACAGCACGGCATTACCAGCTAAAAGAATAGAAAAGTAAACCATGAAGAATTTAACGTGATTACTAGAAGTAGATCAATTGGGGAACGTCCGTTTGGAAAAAATTGACACATTGGCATGTCAAATTCTATCACAGGTAAACGCGCGGAATAGCTACATACGATCCCGACGGAAGCGCATATTCGTTTGGCCATTCAGGGCGTTTTGAGCTATTCAAGACTAATACCTGGTGAACTGTATGCCACAAGATTTTCAAGCCTGAGATGCATTTTCGAACCTTGTGTATTGGTGGGGGGAGGGTAATTGTTGGCGTAACTACACAGTCAGGAAACTACCTGATTGGTGCTTCTTCAGCAAAGCAGACAAACACAGGGAGTTATGGTAACGTACATTCAAATTTCTGTTAGTCCAAGGTGTTCAAACATACGGATTACTGGGATTTCGCTCACAAACTGAATAATATGTATTGCAATTTGGATAAGCTCCCAGCATCAATCATGAGAATTTGTTGTCTGAAATACTTTGTCCATGCCCAGATGGCTAATAATTGAAGTCAAAATTAACTTGAAAGGGGAGGAATCAAAGCCAATAGACTAGTAAAGGCGGCCCCCCAACGAAAACGGACTGCACTAAGATGTACTGTGGTGGTTCGGGATATGGGATTTCGGGCGAACGCTTGCTGCAGTTGTATACCGATCACAGACTGTTCCTCCCCAGTAATAATAGAATGATAGTCGTTCAGATTAACGCTTTTCCAGTATCTAGTTACCCTGCCACTGAACGAAGCATGAGGGTTGACATGCTGTCAGGCTGCCCAAGACCAGACAAGAGCAGCCGAGGTGCTTGGATTGGGTTAGAAACACGGGTCTTCCGGTTAGCAGGTTCACGCCTTGACCACTGAGCCATCTCGAGTTCAAGTCAACAACTCTAAGGGTATAACTGCATCTCATTGCGCTCCTAGAAATTCGTTGGTTTGTCCATTTTAAACAAGTACAGGCTATGAAGTGCATACAAACCAGTCTATGACCAGAAACACCGTCTTCGTCCGTCTCCGATAAGCCTAACGAAAGCCGTAATGGTGTGCAGTCAGTATTGAGTATTTACACGGTTGTTCTCTGCGACCAGTTCATAGGTCCATGAAGCAAGTAGTCCTCAACATCATCAAAGATAGCATGACATCAGTGTTCACCAATAATGCCTCACTGCAGTAAGCAAGCAGACAGAACAGAAGTATGATTTTACAGTGGTCCTTCCTTGGTGTACGGTTAATTCTTTATTACAAACAATAGTCGCAATGAAGTGTGTTCGAAACAGAGGTTCAGGTGACTGACTCGAGTATTCTTTTTGCCTGTGTGAGCTTACGACGGCGGGGTCTTGTTGGTATGGGTAATTCCTTTAGAGCAGTGAAGCAACTCGCGCGTTTGCTTGTGCCAATTCACATATGCAAGTAACTGATGCAGTGGTTAACATTGGTCACGGATTCGGACAATCAGATACACGTTTGTGAGTCGATCGCTGTTCACTTCACTACCACCAACTGACTTCTTGGTTTCCTGATATATGCGCCCAATGCAGTGCTGATGTTTATTAAGCATCGATTGTCGGTCTTAATTGGCTATGGCACCCATAAGGGTTAACTTTCCTCCAACAGTTTTTCAGAGTCCAATGTATAATGACAGAGTGCGATCAAATGCTTCAGTGAGGTCTATGCATCTGGAGTGATTGTGACGCAAAGTGAGCTCAGTCTTCCTCTCACTGCTGGACACGAATAACCACTCACTCCACAGGTAGGATGTTTCCGGACCTGAAACACATCAAATGATACTATCTAAAAGGTAGTCTTAAACGATACTTCAAGTCCTGAGCCTCCCACAAAAGGTCTTCGCCTTTTGGCAAGGACCTTCTCCTTATTACGGGAAGGTAGTAAGTGGTTATTCAAGTGCCCGGCGACACAACATAGTTAATTTTACGTCGAAAAATTACTTTTGTGTAACCAGTGAATAGTGATGCACTACAGTCATGCGTACGGTCAGTAAGTAAATTCCAGAAGCATCTAAGTCCGGGCACCATATAAGTTTCATTCAGAAAATGTGTTCTCAAGGACAGAATTTAAAGCGATATTGTGCATTTAGATGACTATCAAGTTTCGGGACAGGACATACGTTCTACCAGATAAGCTCTACATCCCAAAAGGAAACATCTCTGTATCGTACGCAATAACCCTGTCCCATTAAATGGCTTCTAAATCACTGACAGCAAGAAGGAAGGGTGCTGTTAGGTGTCACCATCCAAATATAGAGACAAGTTCCCTGTCAATCTGACTTCATGTGAATGCACAACGAACCACTGAAGGCAGGTTATGCGACCGTGTTGATCTACTTGACTGCCGAAAACGCTCTTGCATCAACTACGTAACTATAATGCTCATACATTCCAGGAGCACCAGCAGCACTAACCAGGTGGCTCTCCCATTGAGTGCTGAACTGAATGTAAAGAGAGAAGGTGCCTATGAACGGTGGTTGGTTGAATGAAAAATACCAACACTGATCTGCACAAGTACATGTAAAAAACAACGTTTAAACCAGTGACCTGTACACAACACTCGAAATGTAAGAAAAATGTCTCATCTGTCACCATCACTACAGCTGAGCAAAAAGATAAGTCGGAAAATATGGCTGCGTCCAGAATCCGCCCAGAGTGGACGTTATTCGCCGCATTGCGTAACGCTCGGGTTCACCAAATAAAAGGGTAGATTCACAGTACGGTGTCTGACCTAAGAAATGCCAAAGGGAGCATAGGGTAACAGATACTTGAAATCAATTAGTATCCTGAAGATAAGAGTAGGCTATTGTTTGTGCAGACTAAACAAAAAATGGAAGAATTAACATCACTAATGGCGGCCGAAATTAAGGAGAGATGACTCGAAAGAGGCTTACCTGATTGAAACATGAATCGCACCTGGTTAGGCTGAGGGGCACCTGGGAAGCCGGGACGCAGCAGTCCGGTGAATGAGGGCAAGGCAGTTGGCGGCGGTAACGGGATTTGTGACAGTGGCGGTATGAGGCCTTCGAAGAAAGTACAGGAGGAAAATTCAGAAAGGGTAACACTAATATACAGATGCCACAGAAGATGACAGAAAACAAGAAATTTACTAGGGAGCAGGTCTGTTGTTTGGAGATAAATGTTGCTGGGCATACTCGGTGTGCTAGGCGCGAGCCATCCTGTTTCTACAAACAATCAGACGATTCATCTCTGAAACGAGATGCTGGTAAAATGAAGCCAGCAATTACCGGATTACTTAAGTTCAGGCGTATTAGCTACGTGAAACAATGGTTAACAGGGAAACATTTATTGCACCGACATCACAGTAACATCACAGTAACTAGTTCTTTTTCGTGAAAAGTTATCATAAACGTACGTATTCCTCTAAATGATTGGTCTCTTACACGAAGGAAAAACTACAAAAAAAAGTTCACGCGTTATTCGGAACCTAAACGATATATGAGGTGATCTAATCCCAATTAGTACAGACTAAGAAAAGACGTGATCAAGTCCTGAGTAGCTTAATCGGATACGCTTTCTTGTGGGTATGGGGCTGACTATCTTTGCGTAGAAAGACAGACAATATAACCTTCAGTAAGCAACTGCAAGCAGTTTAACTGAATCATCATCGAGTTCACCTTTTTCGGGATCCGGCCATTTCCAGCTTATTGACATCCGAATGGCAATGGGAAAGATGGGCTGCGGGGTGGCATTATTTTAAACACGTCTTTTAACCCCAGTTTGTCACAAAAACAACAGATAACAAAAATAACGAAACGCACAAATCGATACCGGTCATAACGAGGAATGCCTGCAGGGTATACCGTGGACACTTTGGCCAAGGTAGAAACCACGCCACGTGCGAATATTTCTGAGCGCATAGATCTAGTACGCGTAATAAGCAAAGCTTTGAGGGAAGTCAATGGATGGTGTCCTGTACATGCCGACAATACTTCAATAGCTAAGACGCCATCCAACTAGCAGCATTCCGTTAAATCATGATATTACAGTTGAGTAACTGTCAAACCTGCGAGGACCGAGGAAGTTACAATAAACAACCGGATTACCCATATATTCAAACAGTAGGTTAAAACCAGAAGCACATATGCCGAGAGTTGTCTTAAAAGAAAACAATGGTTTTCACTGCGAGCTCACAGCTTGGGGTGATGGCAACATGACGCACGCATAGAAACATAAAGGCGCTACATTTAGCTGATCATGATCGATGTCATTAAGTCAAACCAAAAGTGTTTGACAAGCCGGTCCGATGAAGAAGTACAACTCTCATGAAGGTATACCATCAGTATTAGGACTTGCATGCAACAGTTTGGTTGTGACTGGAATAGTAACTGAAACCGAAACATTTTTTGCTATTTTCAAAGGAGGGACTGATGTCAGAATTTGAACGCACAATCGATGTGACGTCATCAGTGCGTTGTTAGGGAGCGTAGTGGATCGTAGCGATGGGTCGGTGGTTATGCATTAAGTAGTGTTGTGTAAGTTAGTATATGCGCTTTTAGCCGGAGCTGATTTCCGATCACGATGGGTTGTTTGGTCGGATTAACAACCAAAGAAACAAGGATCACCTTGGAGTCAGATTAACAAGGATCATAAACTAGAGTCCAGAGAAGTCAAGGACACAGGTCAATCCAGCACTGCCCAGATTAAGACAGCGGGAGAGACCATGCCTAAAGGTCAGGTGTTCATCGACAAATCAGGCCACACGATAACGATAACCAACGGAACTGTCCAACCAAGCGACCAATGGTGATCAAAAGTTTGCCCCTGGAAGCAGCACGTATATTACCACACACGCACCAGTACCCAACACACAACTACCAACCCATTGCCACAGTCCACTACGCTCCCCAACAACGCACCCCGATTGGTGATGAAACGTTTGCAATCAAATTGCCCAGCTCAGGATTCGATTCGCATACTAGCACCAAAAGCATGAGTTGCCAGCAGCTCGAACTCAAAACACATAAAAAACAATTACCTGAGAACCCTGAAGGAAACTTCGAAGAAGCATCCATGAGTGACGTGTTTGCCTGGTTGGATAAGTTGTCACCAGCCGCAGCCTAAAAAAGGAGACAGGAAAGGACTTTTATGAAAAATATCAACAGTTTGAGGTATTCAATGAGGTACTCAATGGACTACAACCATCCCATTATGCTGGAAAGAAGTTAACAAAATTCGGCAAGGCATATCTATTAGTCATGGGTGATGATTCCATTTTGGTCTGTGGGTCTAAAAAAGGATGATCTGCTTGGAAAATGGCATCAGTGTAGCGAACTGTTATTACTCGTCATAAGGAGGTCACGGCCTAATCCACCGATGAATTCTCTGCGCATCATTATCATCATTATCATTGACAACATAACATCAACCACGGGAGTATTTCATGCATCTGTGCTCACTGCAATTACCAGTTTAGAGGCCATTGCCAGGACGCCCAAGCCTAGACAGGGGAAGTCGAGTGGCAGAGTCGGGTTCGAACCACGGACCTTCCGGTCAGTAAATTCGCGGCCTTACCACTTGGGCCATCTCGCCCCATTAGAGGCCATTAGACGATGACGTTGGTACACCCGTCTGATTGGTCAACCAAACAAAAGTTTGGACGAATTCCCAAAACGGATAAGATGATCCGGCAAAACCAAAGGCAAACTAAAATACCTTCGTTAGAATTATCTGAGAACCACTAGGGAATAAAAAACCACATCAGTCCATGCAGAGGACAAACATCCATGCTGACTTTTGTGGTGATATTTTCAACATGTTGGAGAACAATTTGCATGCACGACGGATGCCGGAATGTCGATTTAGTGCCATGCAGACAGTAAATCCATGGTTGAATATGTATGATGGGGGATCTTTCCACTTCCTAGGTGTCCAGATGGTAAGAAACGAATAAGGATCACCCACCAAATAAACATTCCATGAGCCAAAATGGACGGGGAAATATCCCAACCTCAAAAGCTTTTGTTCAGCAAAGCATAGACAAATAACCGTGTAACGGTGATACTACTGATCGGGAGGCACGCGAGTGGTATGTGCTGTTCGTAGAATTTTGCTTTG